AGAGAGAGAGAGAGAGAGAGAGAGAGAGAGAGAGAGAGAGAGAGAGAGAGAGAGAGAGAGAGAGAGAGAGAGAGAGAGAGAGAGGCGTGGGGCGGGGGGGAAGAAGGAGCAAGGGAAACAGTTGGCATGAACTACACGAACTCCCTCGATACACAGTCAGGCTGCTGTCAGGTTTGAGAAGAATACTTTGAAAAGAATCAAAACCGGAAAAAGGTGTCCTTCGGGACATCTGTTTAAATTGGAACGATACAGAGAAGATTGGCATGGCCCCTGCGCAAGGATGACACACATAAATCGAGAAATAGTTCAAATAAAATAAAATAAAAACGAAAAAAGGTGCTGCCATCAATCTGAAGTAAGAGCAGCAGTTTCTTTGGGAGGCGACAAAGTGCCCTCCATTGACCATCCGCCCCGCTTGACTGCCTGGATGTCCGGATCCTGACCATGGTTTTGGAATCTAGAGGTTTTGTTGGACCTCCAAGGGAAGAGTCAGTTTCTTGGCTGGATTTGTGTGTCTAAGACATAAAAAAAAAAAAAACAAAAAAAAAAACAACGGTCTTGGAGACCTGAGCTCTCCTCTCCCTTCAGCACCTGAACGGCTTTTGAGAAATTAATTTTATAAATTTTTTGTTTGTTTGTTTGTGAACCATTTTGATACACCTTGTCATGATGAAGCAAAAGTACAGCGCCGAAAAAAAGAAGGTGGCGGTGTCAGAAGAACAGCAAGCGAGAATGGATGCTCTGTGTGAAGAGGTGGAGAAAAACCTCATCCTGGTTGGGGCCACAGGAATTGAGGACAAGTTGCAGGTCAGTTATTTAAACTGTACTTTTTCAAATAAATTTTTAGATAATATATTTCGTTTCTCTCTTTTTTTTCTTGCCCCTTTTATGTTCGCTCAGGGTTCGTGCACAAAAAAAGAAAAAAAGAAGGAAAAAAGATACCCTTCCGCGCAGATGCTCAGCCAAAAGTTTCTTAAACAATGTGTTTTGGATTACATAACGAATTCGGCAGAGAGGCTCAGCGATTGGAAATTCTACAGGGCATTTGTTTTCCAACTTTCCCAGATGTTGTGCAATCAGACTTGACTCATTCACACTTTTCATGCACGTGAACAGCAAAACAACAAACTGGCGCCATGCGCCCACACAGGACTCAGAGATATAGCTCCCAAGTAACAGTTCGCTTCCACTGGCTATGGCGACTGTGCGCCTCAAACCACTCACTGTTCACACTCTGGATCACCCTGGATATCCCACACGCGACACTCAGCACTCACACACAGTACACACACACTTCCCCTAAGCTACAGCTATGGCGGCTATGGCCGCCGCTACCCTACTGCTATGGCTACGGT